CGAGAGAGAGAGAGAGAGAGGGGGGGAGGGAGGGCGAGAGAGAGAGAGGGAGGGGGAGGGAGAGGGAGGGAGGGAGAGGGAGAGGGTGAGAGGGGGGAGGGAGAGAGAGAGAGAGAGAATCAAAGTTTTCAAATTTAACTTAAAATTTATGAAATATTAATTTTTGAATGGATTTAACCGAATTCACTATTAGATTGCCCCTCAGGAAGGTTTGCTAATACATACTCAAATAACATTTTGCTGGAATTTTGCTGAAAATTTGTTTAAAAATGTTGCAAACAATTTGCTAACAACATGAGTCTTTATTTGATGCAATATTGCAAGCAAATAAATAGACAAACTGTAGTAGAGTAACTTTACAGTAACTTTGCGGCAACAATTATGATAAAAGTATTTGATTATGGCAATATTGAAGTAATTTTGCTTAGCATCAAAAGCACAAATGTTAATTTGGCAATTATGGCAACATGCAAGCAAAATTTTATTTAGCAAATGTTTTTGCCATTATCATGGCAACATTATGACAACAAGTACCACTAAATAAATTACACTGCTTTGCTTTAGCACGAAATGTTATTTGGGTAGACGAGGATTCGAATCTGAATTTCCTATATTCCTTCAATCATGTTTGTTCTTTTATTCTCTCTCAAAATCTCTTTCAGAATTAAAAAAACGAAGAACATAAATCTCTTTCAGAATTATCTTGGATCCAATTAGGGAACTCGTTGATATAAAATTGCGAATCCAATATTCAAAATGACGAATTAAAATAGTGTTTATGCTCACATTTGAAACCAAACGAATAATAAACATAAAATCAAAAAGACATCACTGATCCAGAAATTAACATTTCATAATTTTTAAGTTAAATTTGAAAGCTTTGATACTCTTGGCAAAACAGAAGATATCCGATCACATCGGGGTTTTGGACATTTCTTCTAGGCGCATAAAATACTAACTATTGCACACTATTAGATTCCGATTGATATAATTTCACTTTTTTGGATCCATTATAATATACAGGGTGTCCCGCAATTATTGACAAAGCTTTCTTGTAAATAGAGCGGATTAAACTAACAAGGGAAACACCAGATGATCGGGGATTTTGATGCGCTTTTTATAGGCTTCTTGAGCGAAAAAAAAAACGATACAACGTTTCAGCCTTTAGCCCATAGTTCTGAAGAAATCGATTTTTGTCACTTGGTGTTTTCTTTGTGAGGGAAAAATCATTTATGATTTTACAATTTTTCCTCTTTCTCTCTCTCTCTCTCTCTCTCTCTCTCTCTCTCTCTCTCTCTGTGTGTGTGTGTGTGTGTGTGTGTGTCAAAATAACTAGGAAAGTAACACGCAATGCAAAAACAGAGTTGGAAAGCATTAATTGCGCGAATTGTACCACTCACTCTAGTGCAGACGCCCAGCCGTCTAAAGCGGCACTCAGTCCAGTCTATATGACAATGGTATTACATTCTTACATTCTTTGTTACAGTACAATTCGCTGATATTATTTTTTTTTATAAAGGGGAGACAATTGTTCCGTCTATCTATATTATGGCTGCGTTCGGAAAGCATACTACCATCGCATCTATCTTTCCTTGTTTTACATTTAACGATAAAGATAGAATAATGGATATATCCCTGATGAAAGTAAATCGATTGAAATCTCTTAAATACTCTATAAAATCATTGAAATAAGAAATTAAAATGACTGAAATATTATTGAAAATATTTCATACTTTTAATATGGAAATATTATAAATTTAAAACATAATGAATAAAAATTAATGAAAAGTAATAAAAATATTGAAACTAATACAAATATGTTTAATATTCGTACTGATTTATTCACAGAAATTGAACACTAAATCATACTGAAATTATACTGAAATTATAATGAAGAGTAAAAAATAATAAAAAATAATGCAAATATATTTAATGTTTATACAGATTATTTAGGAAAATTAAACATCGAATTATGAAGTATCATAAATCCTAAAAATATTTTTGAAAATGCATGAAATAAGTAAAACATAGTATTTTTACTGTTTTATAGTACACTGAAATATGCTCAAATACTATGAATTTTAAAATGAAAATATTTTAAAGGTAATGACATTGAAACGAAATATACTATATATTGTTTTTATAGATTTATTAATGAAAGTTATCAAAAGAGGAATACTAGAATTAAAATATTGAAATTAATAAAATATGAAAAAAATATTGAAATCTGTTGAAAAATAAAAAAATCAGTTTATATTATAACAAAAAGCGTTGAATTCATCTTTCTAGAATCACCGCTTTCGAGAACCGATACCAGATGGTATCAGTTCTCATATGTAAAATTTAGTTGCCATTTTCTGTATAAGCAGAGCTATATAATCGATTATCTGCAGTTTTATGTTTACATTTGTTCATGATTTTCACATATAGTTTAGTATATGCATTGTATTTTTGTACCAACGCGAAACTAAATACAATAACATTTTGTATTGAATTATTTATAAAATATATATTAACGAATTATAATAAAATCTTAATGAAATTATACTGAAAATGGGTCAATTAATATAATTTCAATACGAAATTCAGTAATAATTTTATCATTATTTATTACGTTGATTGGCTGCGGAATAGAGGTTTTCTTTGTCCTGCAGCCAATATTGACATGTTTGAAAAATTTGTCGTGCGATAAAAAATGGATGAATGTAATATAGTCTAAAACGTACGTTTATAGATTTCTTTGTCCTGATTAGTCAATTACACTATCGTTAGGTATTATAGCACTAAGATGCATGCGGGAGCAGCACACTTACACATAGTTCAATTGCACACACCACTCACATCGATTTCCTAATAAGTTTTAACTTACTAATTTTCCATGACTTACTAAGCTTTACCAATGAAATTATGTTATTTTAAATTAGCTAATTACTAACAATATAATATATTATAGGACCGTATATGTGTAATAACATAAATTATAGAAATCAAAGCCTCAAACGGCTGAATCTTAATGCTTGTATGATTCTTATGTGAATTTATATACTATGTATGTAATCCCTAGAATCGCGCGCCGAAATGATTTTTTGGTCTTGAAACGCTCTACTAAATTACCGCAGTAATATCACGAATTAAATTGACTAGCAATTTAACAAATTTTTGATGTTTATTCGCATTTTTTTAATAATATTGAATGACATATTAAAATCTGTAAATAATTAATTCTTATTGCGAAAAATATTACCTCGGCCGAGAGTCGAACCCGGATCTCTTGCATTCCGTGAGAGCGTCCTAAGTCTTTAGACTACCGAGGCCTAGCTACCGAGGCCTTTTAGCTAATTACTAATTGGCAATTAGCGATGTGAGCAATTGATACAATATATACCCGATGCATCTCAGTCAGAAAAGTGACGTTGGTATAACATTCATTCCACAGATTCAATTCATTGAACAGATTGATAATCAAATGTACCTTAAAAAAACCGACTTAGTTTGAATAATCACATAATATAACTTTTATAACTGCTTGAAATAGTATAATATAAATATATAATAATTATATATATATAAACATTTGACTGCATGTGTATACATTTGCTAATTATTATTTAATTAAAAAGAAGTCGATTCAACAATAGATCGATGTCGAAATCAATTAATCAGCCATCAACCTCTTCGATATAAAATAAAGGTCACATCAACGTCTCTGATTAGGTACAATTTCAGTAATATTTTATCACTGATCATTACAATTTTAGTAATATTTCATCATTCCTCATTATATAAAAAATTTTCATCAAGGATGTTCCGGTGTACACTGCTAATACTAGAAGTACTGGAAAATTATTACTATCACATAATGAGCCGTGACAGTAATTCTATCTAATTCCATCAATGATGTTATAAATACAGGGTTGACAAGTAACTTGTAACGTCGTTACTGTTATAAGTTATTCTTTTCGATAACGAATGGATAACGATGTTACATTTTCTTCTGATAACGTTCATAATAACGTAGTTATATTTTAGGGGTAATAGTAATGATTTCACTAGTTACTTTTATCATTTTACTTTATTTTTAGCCATGTAAAAGTTTTAATCCTAACTAGACCGTATATACACACACACACACACACACACACACACACACACACACACACGCACGCACGCACGCACACACACACACACACGCACAAGCGCCGCACACACACACATTTATTAGATTTTGAGCTTTATTCCTTTAAAAGATAGAATTCTGACTTCTCTTTAGAATATTTATCGCAAAAATCTGCATATTGCCCTGATAAAATGCCGAGTAGGCGATTCCGAGGCATTCCTCAGTACTCATGTGGTAGTTGTGCATAGGGAGAGTTTTACAGTAGTTAGTTGGGACAGTCATCCTCAGGGATGCAGCCGCATTGAATCCTGCACGCTCAGGGATTTTGGATCCTGGGTGTCTTTCCTCCGGGGACGTCTCTCTGGATCGTCCTCAAATAGTTGGGCTTACAAAGATTTTTCTCCCCTTGCAAACGAAAAAAAAAAATAATGTTTTTCATATAATAGCGTTTTTCATTGGCAGAATTAGTGCGCACTATTCTAATTTAAATGTAAAAATGACATATCTCAATTGATAAAATAGCTCAAAACTATTCGATATTTTATCGAACAACATAATAAAATGTATTGATGATTTTGAGGTATAACTCGTTTCTATATTTTTATTAAAGATATATCTTTACATCGATCTTTGTGTACAACAGCTTTAAAGCATGAGTTCTATGAACGAAAAACGCTATAATATTCTATTAGTGTAAAAAAAAATAATAAAAAAGTAACGATTCGTCACATTTTGAGTGATGGTAACGGTAATGAGTTACTTTTGCAAATCAATAATGAATTATTTTTAGGAAAAAGAATCGCTAACGCGCGAGTTATTTTTCTAAGGTAACGCCAATCCTACGTAAGTGATACCCATATTTCCACTGCGATTACTGTAGCTCTCGAGATAAGGCAATTACAGTGTAATATAGTATCGAATAAAGAAAGTGTAAAAAATATTAGGTATTAGTTCTAAAAATAAATAAGTTCTTTGAAAGAACTATCGCTACTATTGAACTATGTTATTGATCCTGTAATTAAGCATATTGATACTTAGTACGCTTGTTCGTCGTATCTATTTTATGATTGCACCGGTAAAAAGAGAATAAACCATAATAGCACTGATAGCACACTTCCCGAACACAGCTTATGGATGTAATACGCAAGCATGTTAAATATATGAATAAATCGCCAAACGTCCTTCATAAAGCTTCAGAAAAGTTGTTAATCTTCTTCTCCGTCGTTGTATCTTGCGAAACGTGACGTACGCTTTCTTCCTTTCTCTTTTTCATAATTATTCCCTCGGTAAAGCTTTCATAAAGTATGTCATCATATCGATTGGTAGTGGAAACACGATGGTAGAGTTCTTTTCCGCTGATATTGTATTCAGTGTCTAAAATTAAAAGAAAAGAGCAAAAGTAAAACGGTTCAAAAATATAAGTGACAACAATGTCTAGTTGACAAAATATTCAACCAATAATAATATTGGGTTAGGGAAAAAGTCTTTTTACATGTAGCCAACAGATGGAGATTTGGTCGATTTTTCCAATGATATATAATCTAATATGTCACACTATTGTGTGACGTATTAGATTATATATCGTTGGAAACGTGCTATTTCATACAACATACATTTTAAAATAGATTGATCATAGATTTGAACGATACTGACGCATTCAATCAAATTTGAAAATGAGTGAAAATCAGGACATTTCCGACACATTTTACTTTTTTATTATAAAAAAGGGAAAAACGCTGCGCAAGCCGCAGAAAAAATTTATTGTGTTTATGGAGAAGATGCTCTAACTAAACAAACAACAGATTTCGAAATGGAAATTTCGATCCCACAGAGCATGTATTGTAATATTGCAATAATATTACAGTGAGATTACAATATTGCAGTAATATTGCAACTTGAAATGCAATATTATATAAATACTAATTATGATATTACATTGTAATATTGTAGTAATTTTATTAAATTATTACAATGTGATTATTTTGCAATATAACAATGTTGTCCAAATATTGCAGTGAGATATACCGCAATGCAGTGTTATAGCAATATCATCCAAATATTGCAGTGTGATATATCACAATGCAATATTACAGCAATATCGTCCAGATATTGCAGTATGATACATTGCATTAAAGTATTATGATATTGTTTAAATATTGCAATACGATATATCACGAAACAGTATTACCGTAATATCGTTCAAATATTGCAATGTAATTTATCGCATTACAATATTACCGCAATATCATTTAATAATTGCAATGTGATATACCGTACTATAATAATACAGCAATATCATTCAATTATTACATTGCAGTTATTTATCGCATTACTGCAATAGCGTTGAAATATTACAATGCTTTTTATCGCAATGATATCTTTTTAACATAAGATACGATTAATATTATATTTTGATTTATTATTAAATAAATATTAAGTGTAAAGAAATTAAAAATATAAATTGGATATATAAAAATTAGATATATGAATTAGATATATAAATGAACAAAACTTGCAATGGATATTAATAAGCTGTATTATATTTTATATCTTATTTGTATTTATTAAAATTCTATTTAATATTCATTTATAATTTTTTCAATTTTCTAACATTCAATATTTTTCTCATGTTTTTAATTTTTTTTATTATGACTTTGTCATATATATTTTAGAGTGTAATATTAAGCAATAATATTTTAGCAATTAATAAAACTAGATTAATGATTGTAATATATCATAATATTGCAGCAATATTGCAAAAATATTTCAGAAATATTCCTGCAATGAATTTTTTGCGGATATTTATTTTTGTAACAATATTTAAATGACATGATTGATATATTACTGTGTGATATTATTGCAATATTACTACAATATATGAAAATACTATTGCAATATTATAAATATTAACGTAATATGTAGAAATATTGCTTAATATTATAATAATATTACAAAAACATCACAAAAATATTTCTGCAATAAATTTACCTCGGACATTTAATAGCAATATTTATATAATATTACTGATATATTTTTATGCAATATTATAGCAAATTTGTAATATTATTGCAAGATTACTATAATATCATATGTTGCGTGAGATGTCAAAGATGCACATTATTCTGGTCAGCCTATTGTGTTAAGGAGCTAATAAAACCGTTTGGGACACTTGCGTAAGGCTGGATACACAAAGCGTGATATTTGGATTCTACATAACTTAGCGGTAAAAAATTTAATGAATCAAATTTCTATTATATATTATAAATCGCTACTGAAACAAAACGAAATTAAGTTTTTTCTGAAAAGATTGATAATCATCGATGAAAAGTGGATATATGATAATAATGTTCGAAAAAGATTGTTGAAACAAAATAAAGCATCACAAACAATCGCAAAGCCTAGATTGACGCAAAGAAGGTGATGCTGTATGATTGATGGAACTGAGAAGGAGTCGTCCATTATGAACTGTTGCTGCCATGCAAAACGTCCGATCTCTACTTTCAAAAACTAATGTAATTAGATCAGTCTATTCAGGAAAAGCGGCCAGAACTGATCAATAGAAAGATGTTGCCTTTCATCATGATGCTAGGCCATAGACGTTTTTAATGACTTGACAAAAATTGAGAGAACTTGGCTGGAAAGTTTTGATGAATCCATTATAGTTCTAATCTTGCACCGTCCGATTACCATTTGTTTCGGTCTTTGTAGAACTCTCTTAATAGAGTAAATTTGACTTCAAAAAAGGTTTGCAAAATCATTTATCTCGGTCTTTCTATCGAGAAATCATGAAAGTTCTATATTGATGGAATAATGGCTCTACCTGAAAAATGGCAAAAGATTGATCAAAACGGCAGATATTTGTAAACAATTTAAAAAGAGATCTTTAATAAGAGACTTGTAAACAATTAAAAAAATACTTATTTCAATTATGCTCCAACTTGTAAAAAAACTTTTTCTCTAATTCAATATATTGGAAAAGAAAATTATATGCACACACAATGCACACAGGTAATAGAAGTACGCATTATTTGTAACGCGATTATTTTTTATTGTTACTTATGATAATAGTTAATGATAATTTATGAATTTTTTGTGACGATATTTGTAACGGATTGGAAAAGTCACTCATTGTCAGTCTCATTGCTGAAAAAAAAGTATAAATCTTTTATTTATAACTAGTTACTTTTATTCATTACTAGTATTATTACTGTATCATTACTAGTATTATTACTGTATAGAAAAATAATTCCCTGATGCGTACAGATTACTTAATACTTTTTTTCAGTAAATAACGCATGATGACAAATTACTCTTCAAAATGACTTTCTTAATCTTAGCGTAACTTCAGCGTTAAGTTAATTATCATTATAGTCCTAAAAATATAGTCTTAAAAATTGCAACATTATCAAATTATTATCATAAAGAGTAATTATTTATCATTAGAGCAACCTTGATCTTGACATATATTATGACCTTGAGTAACCTCCAATAAGTTTTAACCACCGCTCGTTATTCGTAAAAAGTTATTATAAAAAAATTTTTTAAAATCATGTCTTGTTTCAATTAACGTAAAACAAATTTTCTGCTTTAATATATATTTTACAACTTTCCACGCGCGCACGGAGCGAATTCCATCCCATCTATCTTCTAAAAAGGCGCACGAATAGTTTGTGAATACGCGAAACGAGTTCTACTTCATCTCCTCCCTTATTAAGAAGCATACAACTTTTCATTTAGATCTTGCTTTGCATGGAAAGTCAAACGCCTCTTGGCAGGAGAGGAGATGGGGTGGAACTCGCTTCGAGTGGAAAGTCATATTTCTTTAATCGGTCTATTCCGTATCTTCCTCCCTGCCTAGAGTTATCTGATTTTTCATATAAAGAAAAGAAATATTACTAACTTTGACTGTTAATAACTTTATAACGAATAACGAGCGATGGCTAAAACTTGTTGGAGGTCATTCAGGATCATAACAACATATGGCAAAGTCAAGGTCAATGGAGGAGGGAGATCTTAGAGATCCTAAAAGTAGAGCTCGGCCAATGCCGACTCGATCCATGATTGGCTTTGCTATGTTGTGAAACGGATGTGAGAATGAGAAAAGAGAATATGAAAGTAAGAGAAGCGAATCTTAGAAGAGAATCTTACCAGCTTGCTGTTAAGATTCTCATTGAAATTGGCGTTGATATATTGGCGTACATTTCCAAGATCACGTGATTTCTGGTTTCACAACATCATGCCGGGCCAATCTCTACTTTTAGAATCTCTAAAGTCCCCTATTATAAATAATTATCAGTAACGATAAAAATAACATTAGTAACTCTTCTATTCCCTGCACGCATGTACACAAAAAATTGATTAACAATGGCTAATAAAGGACTTCTCACAACTGTTTGGAATCGATTTGAAATATGTTATTTCATGAAATATGTTATTTAACATAAAACTTTAAGGGACAAGTATTTTTTACACGTTCATGATGAAATACTTCTTTTTAGCTATTGTTAATCAATTTTTTGAGAATGGAAGAGATGTTATTTACTACGCCGCAGAGAATGGAAGAGATGTTATTTACTACGCCGCGCCATTATTACTTGATATATTTTGTCAAAGTTATCCTGAGTAACTTTAAACAGGTTTCAGTCGTCGCTCATTATTCATTAAAAATTTTATATATTAACAAAAAATATTTGAAAAAATAACGTCTTATTTCTGCTATACATAATATTAAAAACTATTCTGTACTTTTCCTTGCGAAATAGCTTTCCATGCGAAGAGAGATCCACCACATCCACCCTGCCCGGAAGCACCCTGCCTGTATGACTTTCCAAAAGCGAGGGTTTCACCCCATCCCCCCCCCCCTGTTTCGATGCGCACGATTTTCAACACAAAGGGAGTTCCACTCCATCTCCTCCCCCCCCCCTGCCTAGGGGCATATGACTTTTCACGCGAAACGAATTCCTTTTCCTCCCCCCTACCGAAAATCGTCCGATTTTCCACGTGAAACAAGTTTCATTCCACCTCCCTTTTGCCAAGGGGCGTTCAAGACTACGTTTAGGAATTACATCCAGATAACTTTAAGCTATATGATACGTTACGTATATTATAACAAAAATGCACACTAGAATTATCTAGACGTAATTTTTGAATGCAGTTCTACTTTCTACACAAAACGGGTTTCACTTCATTTCTCCCATCTGCCAAGGGATTTTCCAGGCGATGCAAAATCCATCTAACTTTGCCCTTATCTTAAGTAAGAAAGGATATAGAATAGTTTTTAGTATTAGAGGAAAGGCCCCTATTATGAATTCATTTTGGGTAAATGCTAGAAATCTATGGGCAGAATTTAAAAAAGTGATAGGTCACTTTTAAGG